CATGAGCAAATTTAAACTGAGTTCCCTGGACTGTGGCACTGCATAAAAAGTATTTCCTGTGAGAACTGCCAATTGTGATTAGCAAAAGCAAATTATTATTATATTTTTTTCTCATTTTAGTTTAGTCTAAATTGAAGATTATCAAAAACTAAAGTTCAAAGTGAATCTAATCTATTTATTAGTATGGTCTGTGGAGCAGGGAATACTGAGAGTTTCAGAAGAAGGACAGAATACTGGCAACTGATCATATTTAACCAGTAGGCTCTTATTTTTATAACTGGATTCCACATTTCCTCTGGAAAAAGAGAGACAATCCAAAAAAAAACCCCAAAAATATAGAGCACTTCTGCCATATTTCTCTCCAAAATATTTGGTCCTCAGGAATGTCCGCGGTATTTGAAATATTTTGAATATTCAGGTTAACCAAGATTCAAGAATCTAGAAGATTTCAAAATGTTGCCATTAAAATCCTTGAGGTCATAAAAGTCTGATTGCTTATCAGTTTGTTGAAAAACTTAGGACATGCAGCAGAATTTCTATTGATTGTGCATATAAGTCCTAAATGGGACAAAAACTTATTTTAATCCTAGTCTTCACAGTGTGCCTTTAGAATTTTTACATGAAAAAGGAATAAAAAATAGGCAAAATAATGTGTTTATGAGGCAGAGTTCTTTAGAAGAAGGTGTTGAGCAGATCTAAGTTGTATTGATATACAGGAATTTATTATGTGGATGAAGGAAAAAAGAGGAAACTTATGTAAAATGAGCCTTTCCTTTGTGATTCTTTGAATCCTTTAAGTGATCTTTGAATCACTCAAGCAGCTAGAAACTATGGGAGGAAAATATTTAGTAAATCACAAGTAGTAAAACCAATCAACACAATTTTACTATAAAATATTATATCCTGCACTCTTGGAGGCCCACATTGGTTCTGAATGCAAAAGAATTATGCTATTAGGGGTATTTTCTGAAATAAATTTAAATCACTCCATCTGAAGAACTGCCTGGAATAAAATCTGGACTCAAAAGGAAAAAAAAAGAGAGGATCTACATTAGTTACATGAAAGGGTTGTTTGAACGTGTGTATCATTCAACTATAAAAAGAAATTTCATTGAAGTCACAAAAGGATTGTTAGTGATAATTCCTGTGTATGAAGATGGAAGAGAAACACCTTTAGTCACATCATGCCTCAGCTGTCAGAGGTTGAAAAAGCTTTCTTCCTGCCAAACTTACATTACTCCGTGTTGCAAACCATGATATATCCTTCTTGAGCTCTCATATCAAATGTTGTGTTTATTTTTTAAAGCACAACTCCAATTCAGTATTAATTTAGTAATTGTGTGGTTCTATTTGTTATATTTAATGACTATCTAAGCACTTAACAATGAAAAAGTTTTTCTGTAACTCACTGTTGTAATGGGGTATATGAGCGAACACATTCTCATGCACATGTTTTTAAAAATCATTCTTAGTTATGTCTGAAATAAAATCTAAAATCAAACAAAAGAAATAGATGAGATACTAATGTTGCAATATAAACCTATTTGAATTTTCTAATGCCCTTCAATTTTTCATCGCTTTTAAAGGTATGATTTTTATATGTATTTTAATCTTGCTGAATAGATCTGCATAAAAATAACATAATAAAATTAAATTAAACTTGATTTTTTAAAAAAAGTTTTTAAAGATGTGGTGGAGAATAGTTGTCATTTCTGGCTTTCTTGAAGGTCTAGAACTATAAGAAACCCGTTTTTCATTGTCAGGTCTTTTTTGATTGTCCCACTTCCTTTTTTTACCTTGTTGGCCTGATCTTGTCAGATGCCCTATTTCTGAGGAATTTCAATTCACCACATTTTTTCTTTTCTACTGTCAGTCTTTCACACAGAGGAAGAAGCACTCCATGCCAGTTCCTGGCTGAGCCTAGTGTTCCTCTGAGCTCTCTTCATTCTGAAAAAGGTTACTTATGTGCATACCAATACTGGATGAACATGGTGGAGTTTCTTGATACTTGTAAATAGTGTTATAGAATTTCTTTGGGGCTGTAGAAAATGTGCCTGCCATCAACATTATAATATCAAGGCACTCATTTAACCAGTAGTCCTAGTTCAGAATGTACTCTATAAAGTTTCTACCAAAACTGCGTTTATATCACATGCAATAGATAGTAGTAGCAGCTTCTCTGTAAGTGTATGTAAGTCTGAGTTGAGAGAGAAATTTCGGTCTTTAAGTGTGATTGAAATGCCTTCTGAGGATTTTTCAGGACCTAGTACTCCTTTCTTACACGCAAAAAAAAATTAGGCACACTGCAACTAAACAAAAAAATCCTAAAAGAGATGCAGAATTTTTATGATTGCATTTATGAGATTCAGCTATTTTGGTGGGCATGGATTAATAAGCTGAGAAAAGGTCTAAGCTGAATGTCTTGCTAACTGATCTTTAAAAAGACATTGTTTTTGTAATGAGCTTGACTTAATTTTGTTTCTATTTTCCCCAAACCAATGGGTCTTCTTCCCTGTCCTGTGAGTGTAAGCTTGCCTTAGGCTTAAATGAATGGCAGAACTTGCAGGAAAGGAAACTGTCATTTGGGTTAAGAAATTGGAAAAGCAACTGATCTGCATGACCTCAGCTTCCATTAGTCTTCAGTTTATTATAAATAAATAGATCAAATATCATTGTTTTGTTAATATTACTGTCTCTTTAGCTTTAGGTAGGGTTTTCTATTTGTTTTTGTTGTTTATATTAACTCAGCTCCTCTATATCAATTTTTTCTTGCTGCTGCATTGAACATGGTTCAAATTTTATGTTTAGGAATATGTATTCATAGAAGTACAGAACTGACTTTTTGGTGGTGCTGATATGAATTATGAGAGCTGGGAATGTACTTAAAGGTAACTTCATGTCTGTGCATGATTCCAAGTCACCACAGTACACTGTTGAATATAACTTGACAAATGACTGAGAGAGTGTTTTCAATTTTATCTTTTCCTTCTACTTTATCTGAGTAACCAATTGTATATGGCAGGCATGTGAGGTGCAACAGAGAAACTGGAGCAATAATGTGTGTCAGCTGGTGCTTAATTAGATATTTCTACCATGGGGGAATAGCTGTTTCCCACAATTAATGTGTTATATGAAAGGTGAAAAGTAATCTAACTTTTCAGGAAGATAATAAGTAATTGGGCCAGTTGTTCTTCAATGCTTTTGCATCTTTTTTTACCTGGTACCCCAAATGAGCAGCAAGGCTCCTAAATGTTTGTCATTATAGTTGGAGATACTAACCCAAATGCAAATTGCTGTTTTCCTTACAGCTTATCTTGCAGCAATATAGATGATGCTTTTTACAAATATCCCTTAGGATAAGGTCATATGAACCCTTGTGGGACTATATCTGGTGTGCTGCTGTAGTGCCTCTCATGAGCCACAGAAAGTCAGCAGGGTGCTGCTGGAGAGCACAGCTGTGCTCAGCAAGTTCCTCTCACAGACTGGCAGCATTTCTGAGCAACAGCTATGCAGTAAAGATGATCGAGCACATAAGGTTCACCAGCCATATTCCCTGCAGTATGACAGTGTCTGCTCTTGACTGGCTGGACTTATATGACTTAGTTTTTAATTATGCTTTTTCTCATGAGTGTCTCTTTACATTAAAAAATATTACTGTTTCAGGAAGTCAAATAAATATGAAGCCCTATTAGGATATTTGTATGTGGGATTTTAAAGACAATACTTCAAATTGTGCAGAGCAGTCGCTGACTTGGACCACCATTTATCCAAAACACATATTGGAGCACAACTGATCGACTGATTTTCTCCTTATGGTAGCATTACTTCAGTAAGGTGTAGGCTTAATCCTTTTTCTACAATATTACAATGTTGCATGTAAAAAATGCACTTCTCTTACACTTGTCTGACTGAGGAGTTTTTGTAAAAATAGTACTTGAAGCAAAAATTAGAATTAATTGGAAATTGACTTTAGCTGAAAAAAAATGAAAAAGCAGAATGATTTCATTTGTTCACTGTCATTCCTAGCACCATCAAACTGAGCTCCTCCTTTCTAGTAAAGGTTCCCTCTCACCTGTACAATTTCCCAGTGGCTAAGGAATTTGGACAGAGGCTTTGTGTGAATCCTGTTCCTCTATGTGCTGTGCAAGTAATAGGAGCTTTCCACCAAAGCACACTTTAATGGATGATTCTATTATCCATCAACATGGAACAATGGAATTGGAACTGTAATTGCCAGAATTTCCATTTTGGCTAATTATTTCTTCTTTTACTTAAATTAGTTTCTAAGCTTTTGTTTTATTCTGGCAACAGGCCCAAGTCTTTGGTAACTGAACAGAAGTCTTCATGTATCTTTAATTAACAGTTCTTCCTCTTTTCAAATTTTACTTCTCTTTTTTCCTGTCTATCTTTCCATTCTTAGGTGTTTGAGTTTTTTTTAAACTAATTCTATTACAACCTTTTGGCATCAATTTCTTATATTTTCTTCCTTTTTTTGTTTTTTTCTGTTTACTGGGTTTCTAGTCCTAACACGTATTTTTTATCAGTTTACCAGCAAGAAGCTTTATGAAATTACTACTAATTGTGTGTTTGCATGACTGACATATTGTGCCATGTCCATCTGCAATCAGATCCAGGGTCTGATCAAAATGTTTTAACTCGTGGCACTGAGTTCATGCAAGGTCTCACGTCACAGACAAATTGCACATGCCTTCTAACCAATCTGGATAAACAAATACTCTGAAAAGAATCTGAGTTGTATTTTTTGGTAGGATTTCATTTCTTTGACCTTCCAGAACCCCAGGCAATTGGATGTATAACTATTCTCCACTCTACTAAAGATAAATCTCTTTTCAAATATATATATATATCTATATGTACACACATGGGCACTTATTTATCTATAGCTAAATAAGGTCATAAATAAACCAAAAAATCTAGGATGTTTTAACTATTTCATTGACTTTACAGATTGTTTTTAAGCTGTTTTTTAAACTTTAAAGGCAACACTGATAGTGAACGGTTCCAAATGGTAAAACAGAAAATCCCCTTCAAATATAACCGGCCTGTAGAGGAGTGGCTGCAGGAAAAAGGTAATAGTCATTAAAACTTTCATTTTAAATCCATTTGATTCTAAACTCTCATTTTTAAAGCCTGCAAATAAATGTTTCTTAAATGATAATCGCCTGTGCTGCATAAATGACTGTTTTAATTTTCATTATAATTTGTGTCAGCTTCCACCTGCCATATGTTGATAAATCATGCTATAATACATTGCTATTAAAATGCAGTTAAAGGGACGAAATTCTAAGCTTGCTATAATAGTAATGACAAACAAGCAAAAATTCAGGAGATGATTTCTAAAAAAAAAAAGCCAAATGAAGAAGAGTGAAGAGCAACAACATGTATTATGGCAACTTAACCACTGCATGATTTTCCTATTTTAATTTGGGCTTGAACTACATTTATATCTTTATTATTGAAGTTTTCTTAATATATTTTCAAATCTACTTGTTAAACCACTTCCTTTAAGTTGTTTTTTTTTCTCATGAGTCTGATTAGCCACCATGGCTATGTATTTCCTAATTATATTAAGATAATTAAATGATTTTAAAAAATGTTGTAAAGAAAACATTTTTTAACATTTCCATTTAAATTGCAGTGAGGGAGACAGAGAAAATGATTGTTCTGTTGCTTTTATGCTATGTCTGGAGTACAGTTTGAACAGTCAAATTATATTTGTCTAAAATATGGATCAAATTCTTAGTCTAAGGCAGTGCCACTTAATTTTGTGGGCTTGCCTGGAGTAATTGGCCTCAGTTCAACAAAAAACTTGTTAACATGAATAAGTCCAGATGGCTTGAGTGAAAGTTCTGCATACAGTCCATGACCTTTTGAAATGGGTCTTGTGTCAGAACAGTAATTTCTTTTTTGTAAGGAATTTGGAGAAGAAAAAAAACTTGGCTTTAGAACCCATTTTAAAGCCTCTTGAATGTAACAGAATAACTTGCTGATTTCAGTAGGGCTTGAACTAGGCTCTTGGTAATACAGTGGAGTTTAACTCAGGAAGATAATCTCCCTCTATTACTAAATGTGTTATAAAAAAAAACAAACAAAAACCACTGTAACTAACTCCTTGCCTTGAAATCTAGACAAAGCAGAGCACAATCTTCTCTTGTTTCCATTTATGAAAGTATTGCTAATAAAAGGGATGACCTTTGAGCTCAGATCTTGCATTTTCTGTGCTGATTTAGACTATGGTTATTAAAGCATTTTCCAGGAAGGAAAACGAATCTCTTGTAGGACTGGAAAAATATAATTTATGTTCTATTTCAAATTTTTAACCTCAGCTGAATTAACAAATTGATTTATCCAGTATGAATTAAGGTTAGGAAGTTTGTGGCTAAATCCAGTCAAAATATTTTCATGTGAGGCGCCTGATCCTGCAAAGCATTGTGCACACTCAGTTCCTATTAACTTCAACGAGAGCTGGCAGTGTTGCTCACTTTTCAGGTTTGGTCTACGAAGGTGTAATGTTTAAAACTAAAGCTAAAGTATTCATGAAAGTAAGGCAAAAATATTTGTATAACCAAAATAGAATTTTTTTTTACAACCAGTATGTCATAAACAGTTAATTCATCTAAATTGTAAATAAATTTTAAGATAACAATAAACAGAAAATGCTTACTGAGTCTCAGTGGGTTGCCCTATTAATTTACAAGATCAAACTAAAATAGATAAATAAAGTTTAACACTAAAAAGAGAATAATTTTGGTAAGTCTGAATTGCTAAAGTCCCTTTAACACTAAAGACAATGATTGCCTCAACTTTGTTAAAACAGATGCATGTCTAATTCCTTGATGCAATTCATGTGCTTGAGAAGCCCATCTCTTTTACTTTTGGTTTGGTTGTGGGTTTGTTGGTTTTTCGGGTTTTTTTTGGTTTTTTGTTCCTTTTTGGTTTTCCACAAAATCTTTTACTTTGTCTCACCTTCTACAAGTTTGAGCTTAAAAGCATGCCAAAACACTTTCATTTGTAATCCATCCAAAAGTTTTGAACTGAAGTCTACCTTCTGTGGATATTGATGCTTTGTTAAAAGACAATCACACATGTACTAGTCTAAATGAGATAATATTTGGGTATTCAGGCACTCTCAAAGCACTGGATGTGGTTAGACTAGAAGAATAGAGCTATGTTTTTACTAAAGTGAAAATCAGTCTTTCCACAATGTGTCAGGGAATGACACTGTGCAGTGTAACACCTGAGAGAATGTAACTTGTTTCCTTCATTCCAAAGTAGACAGACATTTTCAACAACTTAGGTACTACTCAAATTTTTAAAAATCTAAGAATGAGTAATTTATGTAGCTGTTCACCAGCCTGCTCATCCATCTGGTCATCCATCTAACAATTAATGTAACATGGAAACCTTCTGTCAGAAGACTATATAAAGATGGTGAGTGAAAGGGTAGATTCCTATCAAAATGAAACAAGACAAACTGATGGATGAAGGAATAGATTCATCAAAGAGTCAGCATACAGAATAGCTGTATTGCCCATGTGAGTTCTTGGCTTGGGTGAGGTAAGATGAAACACTTTTTGATTGACATTTTTGAATGCTATAGATTTGGTCTTCCTTTGGTACTGCTATGTTATTCATAATAATGAAATGGTTCATTCTTGGAAAACAAATATAACACATTGTCTTTCTGAAGTGGCATCACTATTGGCTTTGAAGGGCTTTTAAATTCTATAAATTAGTTTAAAATAATTTTAAGAGCCCAGGTTTGCAGTCTTGAATTGCATGAGTAATAAGCAAAATATTAAATGCTATTAACATCACTGAGATTATATATGTGAATATAAAAGAAGTATTAGTCTTAAATTGTTCAAATTCAGTGTAGTCATAAATCCAGCAGATTTCCTTAGCAGAATACTTGGTGTCTGCTAAGGCACAGATGTTACCTGTTCTGCAATTGAACGAGCTAATAAAGACCCAGAAGCATCTCATCAAAAGGATTGATCCCAGAAGTACTTAATTATTCAAATCTCTCTTACCTGTAAAGTCTCCTTGATGTGACTGTACTTTTGAAGCAAGAACTATTAGTATGAATTAGGACTTGCAAAATCAGGCCCAGTCTTTTCTAGTGCAACAGAAAAGTTGCACTTCAGATTTCTCGGCAGTATTTTTTATTAGAATTTAATTTTTCAAATGAAGAAGTCAATGAGAGAGCAAACAAGAGCCTCAACTATTCAGAATACTTATGAAACACCTCATAATTTTTCTTTAGTATGACACTAATATAGCAGTAGGAAGAGTTCTCTGTGGGGAAAAAAAGGGACTTCAGAATTGAATTACACACCTAGTAGAATTTACTAATGTAAATAGTTCCTCAATAAAATTCAGTAGGCAAATAAATTTTACTTAGGGAAAGTAAAGGCTTCAGCTAAATTCCTTTGAAAGAATGATCAGAAGAGACATATGGTGGCAGAATGAAGTGTATGTTCATTCTCTCCAAAGATTTTTCTCATTCCATATTCATTTCCCTGGTGTCTTTACCATGCGCGTGTACACTATCTTAGAGCCAAGAATGAGGAATTTCAGGTAGTAGGTGACTGCAACAAGTGATTGTTCTTTTAGCAAATACATTTTTAGTGTGGTTTCCAGCATTAACCATATGGTGCAGTGCATGAATCCCGGTCTGGAAAGCCATTTGAAAGTGACGACTCCAAAATACAAATCAAAGTTCCTTTTTTTTTTTTTTTTTGCTGCAATAGGGTCACCTCCTTGGTGTACACTTACTTTCAACATTAGAAGATGAAGATGAAGGCCCAGAACTGGAGACATGATCTCTTTTTTTCAGGCTTAATATACTAACTCTTCATTCTTGCAAATAATGCAAGAGATATGACAGACCTGTAAAGCTGTGCTATTAGCTTGGGTTAGAATAGTTGACATCCTGAGCTGAGTCATAATCCTTCAGTAAAAGTGAGAGAACTCCTCTCCTATCCTTTCGGGAACTGTCCTACCTAGAGCAGCAAAAAATTTTTACTTCCTCACCACCTTCCACCTTCTTCCCTTTGGCAAAAGATGAAAAAAGATGCTAAATTAATTCAAGGGAAGAAAGGAATGGAAATGAAAATGAAAAACTGAACTGACAGTTATCTTCGATCTGTTTTCAGGGATAACATCTCAAGATCAGTGAAATAAGTCCCTTTACTCTTAAGTCCCTTCTTTACTCATCTTACCTCTACTCTTTGGCATTCTTACCATGAGTGAGGTGGTAAGAAGGGAACAGTAGCAAGTGACATGTCTGAGTTTGTAGGGGCAGAGACAATACAGACAGAACTATAGTCCTAGAGGAAGAGAACATATTCAGAGAAGGGAAAATGGTTTAGTAAAGTTCTTACAGCATATGCCTTAAAGAATCCAAAGCACAACAGAACAGAAAGGGAAAGCAAGCTCTGAGGACATGGTATGGACAGGAGTTTGACCTTCTACAGTGTACAATGCCATTTCCTCTAATTCAGAAAGGAGCTGGGCTGAGAGGGATGAGTATCTCAACAGATATTGTTACTGGGCCCTATTTTTGTCATAGATGAGAGTAAAGGCTCTATTTACATTTTGAGGATGTGTGGCTTCAGTGCATGTTTATTGATGTTTTAATAGACATGTTGCCTCTGGCAAGTTTAAAACCTCCTGAGATGCAGAATATGGCATCAGGTGTTTCAACACTTACCAGGGGAAGGATAACCCCCCATTTTTATTTCTCATTCCTTCATCACTGCAGTTACTCCACCCTGATCAAGTCCTTATTTTCCATTTACAAATCTGAGAGTGAGGAGCACAAGGGATGTGCAGCCCACTTCCACGTGTCTGTGTGTTACACCTCGCCATTTACTGTTGCTCAGTTAGCTAGGGCCCTCTTTGGGGACAGGAACTTCTTTCAGATACATTTCTTCTCTTGTCCCCATTCTCTTCCCTGTGGTCCATCCTGTCACCATAAGATGATGCTACACCGCATCACCACTTGACTTCGAGACCTGCCACGACGACCAAAATTGGTGAGCTCCGCCATGTATTTTGATCTACTCTAACCACTGGCTGTGAAGGAATGAGCAGTGGATCATAGGCTGTGCCTTCCTACATGGTGGCATTCTGCACCTCTCATCAGGCTGGACTAGACAGAAAGTGGCGAGTGAGAACTGGGAAGTGGGAATGGGATTGAAAAACATATTTCAAACTTCATAAAAAAGGGAAAGCACAAGATATTTAAATGATGATTGTCTTGATGCTGCATTGATAACCCTTCTGTGCAATGTCCAGTCTGGTTGTCTGCTAATTCAGCAGATTTCAGGTGGCATGCCCCTAATCCTTTGAGGAATATTATAGGCACTGCCTTTGCACTTCATGAAGCAATTTATTTCTTAACATGGTCAACCTAGTGCAGCCTGGGACATAAACAGTATTTATAGAGCAGTCCAGGCTGAATGTGAACTAAGTGTCCTGCAAAACTAGGTGGCAATTGCTACTAGATTTATTTTTAATAATTATATTTTTTATTACATACAATATTGGACCTCTTCTAACATTCAAGATGTGACCTTGACTAAACCACATAACCTGCCTACATTTGAATTTTGCTTTCTGTAAGAGTGGAGTAAGGCATTCTGGGGCTTAACCATCTGAAGCACTGTAAACGTACTATTTCAAGAGCTTTGCTCTTTTAGAGACATCAGAAATGATTGTGTTTGTTCTTTCTTGGGTTTAGATTTGCAAGCCTTCACAACACAAAGTTTACAGGTGAAAGATCATGACTGATCCTGTCATAACACTCCTACTCAATTCTTATATCACTTCATTTTTACCTGATGTTTTACTGTTTTTGAGCCAACCCTTGAAACCTTTGCATTATTAAAAGTGCCTTTATGAGTCAATCCAATGCTTTAACCAGTCCAAAAGGAGGTTTATTTATGGGCTAAAGCTTGACAGATACTGCAGTCTGAATTGATAGTAGAAAAACAGCCACATGTTGAAGTCCTATTTGTAGTTTAAAATTCATCCAATCCTAAAAAAATGGGTTCAAATTTCTGAAGTTCCTCTAGAGCTTTGATGTGTGAGTGGATGCTGAGGTATAAGGTTCAGTTTTAGGTATTCATACTTTCAGGCTAATCATCCTTATTAATGACTTTTAGGCACCACATTTGCATACTGTTTCTCTACAGTCATCATAAACACTCCCAAGAATGAATCTACTTCTCCTTTGTCCATCACTTTGGGCCGGGGCTCAATGTAGTATGCAAATTGGAGGAAATGTCTGTCAATAATGTTATTCACCCCCCTTCACTAGGACGACAGTTAACGATCTTCAACACCCAGGCGCAAATAGCCATAGGAGGGAAGGACAGAGGGCGTCTCTTCCAAGGCCAGCTCTCCGGTCTCTATTACAATGGCCTGAAAGTGCTGAACATGGCGGCAGAGAACAACCCCAACATTAAAATCAATGGAAGTGTCCGACTCGTTGGAGAAGTCCCTTCCATCCTGGGAACAACACCCACAACATCGGTGCCGCCGGAAATGTCAACTACGGTCATGGAAACCACAACCACGATGGCGACCACTACCACCCGAAAAAATCGTTCACCGCCCAGCATCCAGGTGAGTCAATTAGTCTTCTCCATTTCCTTCAGTTCTGAATTCATCTTGCTGCTCATTTGTAAGTTCATAGGAACTATGTTCTCTGAATAATGCGCCATGTAACTCTTTATTTTAAAAATGTTGTCCTCCTGTGTTGGACACAGGACAAACAGCTGGCTGAATTGGTTGTGGCACATACATGTAAGAATAGGAATGGATTTTGCTCCTGATATAGTGCCACCCTATTTATGTGAGATTGTCACAATGTGAATAAGAAGAAGATTTTAAACTATGTTTCAAAAGTTCCATATGTAGGGAAATGTATTCCAAAGAGTTACACAGCTTAATGGGGGGTGGGTGTATGGTTATTTATTATTATGACAGGATGAACTGCTGCAATAGTGAAGTTCATAATGAGGAGAAAAGCAATGAAGCATTACTTCCAGTTGGAGTCATTTTTTATTTCCCTTTTATAGCTTTCCTGCAGAGAATTTTGAAGGAATGCTATCAAGATCAGTTTCTTGCAAAATGTAGAGGTTCCAACATAGAGCAGTTCCAATCTATTTGGTAAACATAATTCCTAAATAAAAAATGGATTTCAGATTATCTGATTTAATTGTGCCAAAGTACTTATTTCAACCCTTAAAATGCAGTGGTTTTGGAATCACTTTTGTGGCAGCCAGAATATGGTAGTGATTAGAAATAAACACCTTCAATTGGCTATCCTTGTCTGTGCAAAGAAAAGAATCGTGTGAATAACCAATCTGAGCTGTGTATTATTTATTTCAGCAGTATACTGTCATGTTATTGTGTTACCAACTGGAATGAAACTTTTGTTTTGAAATCATTAGAGAGATGGAGCTACTGGAGAGGCTAGCAAAGGGCCTCTGAAATGAGTAAGGGACTGGAGCATTTCTTGTATGAGAAAAGACTGAGAGCTGTAACTGTTGATCCTAGAACAGAGAAAGCTCAAGGGGGATCTTAACTGTGTGTACACATACCTGAAGGAAGAGTGTAAAGATGACAGTGCTGCCCAGTGGCAGGACCAAAGACAATGGGCACAAGCTGAAACACAGGACCTTCCCTCTAATCATCAGGAAACATTTGTATCATGAGTATGACTGAGCATGGACGCAGGCTGCCCCAAAAGGTTGTGGAGTGTCCATGCTGTTAAATATTCAAAAGCCATCTGCACATAGTCCTAGACAGCTGACTCTGCATGATCCTACTTGACCAGAGGTTTGGACTAAATGACCTCCAGAGATCCCTTCCAACCACAGCTATTCTGTGATTCTGTGAGGTACATCTGGCTGCAGTGGAATTTACAACTATTAGAGTAATTCATTCCAAGCTGAGGTTTAACAGTGCCTGCTTTGGTGCTCTAAATCCGGATGGCAACAGGACTGGGATTAATTCAGTTATTAGCCTCAAACACCTAGGAGGTGATTTTATAAAGTCTCAGCCAAATGAGGGGAAATTACCCCAGGTTTGGTCACTGTTTGTCATAAACTTTGTGAGATTTACAGTTCCTTCTCCTCAGTGACTAGTTCTAATTTTAGAGAAAATATTTGTACAGTTACATCTCCAGAACTATAAAGTCTGTGGTTCTTATCCTGCCCTCTATAATTTTTAAAGGCAGCAAAGCTGTGTTTAGCTATACCAGTGGACAGAAAGTAGCACTGGACCTTTATGAGCTGGGTCAAGCTGGAAATGATGCTGGCTTGCCTGAAAAAGAACTCTTTCTGAAAGCTTCCTTCCTAGCTTACGTGGCAGTTCACTCAGCCTACAGAGACCACTGTGTACTGAAAGAGCATCAAGAAGATTTAATAAAGTGTCAAAGTGCTTCTAAAAACATGGTTAGAGCAGCGATTTCCTGGATACACATGCACCACAACAAATGGCCTCATCTCAGCTGATATTAAAGCAATAACTCTTTGACACTTCATGCTACCCGCTGAAAGAAAAATAAAGGTCAATATGTACCTCCATTACAACTTTCTACATTTCAATATTGGGCCATTTTATTGCTGTCGCACCACAGATAGCTTGGCTTTCTTCCTTATTTTTGGTGGAATTTGATTCTGTCTGTTTAAGTTGCAGTAACTGTGTGGTGAAAGTGAGAAGAAATTGTCTTTTCCTGTTTTGGCAGTATCTCCAGCCATGGTTTTTCAGGTGCCTAATGGTTATTTTATCTTGCTTGTGTTCATCACCACCATCATCAAGCCTGCTTACAATTTTAGATCTAAGTGGTGAAAAAATCTAATAGAACAAGTTTACTCTTTGGGAAAAATAAAATATAGATACCTAAGGCTATGAAAGGTACAAATACAGTTAGTTATTACCTTGTTTCAGCTTTCTCTTCTCTTTTCTGCTTAGAAATAAACAGTTTTTCTTCACTTTCAAGGCTGTTTAAAGTTTAGCCTCTTCTGATTCCAATCAGCATGATTCAAGCACTTTTTGCTCACTCCTTAGATTTGATCATAGGAATCTTTCTGCTTCCTGATACCATAAAAAAGGCAACAGCAGGTTATTTTTCCAATCCCATTGACACTCTTGTCATTGTGATGCATGTCAAAAAGTTAGACTGATGATGGTCTAAGACAACTGTTCATCAAGTCAATCAATATTGTCACTTTTTTTGTTTTATTATCCATGTTTCTATATCCACATGTGATATCTTGTTTTATGCTAAGATTACAGACTCCTTGGGTTCAAAACGTACTTTTTATTCTGCACATTCACATTACTTGGCACAGAGAGGTTCTGGCCAATTGTAGAAACACCAAGCATGATACAAATAGAAGTGAAGCATCTAATGCAAAATAGCACAAATCATGATAAAGAATTACTGTTCTTACTCTGTTAGGAGTATCTGTGCTACTTGTATTACTCATTTTCATATGTAAGTAACTTAAACTACTACTTTTTAAAATGCGAATAAGTCTTGTGCAGAATATCAAGTCTGTAATCACAAAGTGTTACAAAATCCAGAGGATTTTCAGAAGGACTTAGATTTACACATCACTTGTTAAGAAACTACAGAAGAGCATGATAAGTGCAAAAATATCTTGTAACACATACCAAGACACCTCCTGCAGTTAGGTAGTCTGAGTACTGACAGAAGTATTTCAGAGCACAGTTAGAATGAAACAGCTGGGAAAATGAAGAGGTTTAGAAATACACAGTGCATGTTGAGACCAGTGATATGCTTCAGCTTTTGAAGATCCCAGACATTGTGTACAGTTTTGGACAAACAACTAAGGTAAAGGAAATTGAGAGAAAAATATTGCTGGAAATACAAAGTGGCACTGAAATTAGCATTTAAAATGTCTATAAATGTATACTAAATTTCTGCAGTAAAAGGCAGTAAAACTCAAATCAGTGGAGGACAGCTAGGATTTGAGTGAGAAACAGTTGAGATATATAGCTGTATGCTGTACTGCTGAAAATGTTCCTGTGATTCAGAGAAGGAAGTAACAAGAGCTGACCTTTTTTTCTTACTGAAAATAAGGGAGAATAAGAAGTTTTGATTTGTGTTTGTTTCAGTGAGTTGCAAATGGTGCTTGTGCTCCACTGCCCCAAGAAGAAGCACTGATTTGACTTTCTCAGATGTGGTTTTGTCTTGGATTTGAGTAGTCTGTTCAGAAGTGGTATGTGCTGTACTAATTTCTTGCTGCCTCTCAGGGCCCTGATACATCAGACTCTCCTATGATAATAATATCCTCTCTGACACTTCTGCTTTGCCACGTTAGCTGCAAAAGCCTTAAAGACAAGCTGCTGGCTTTTGTGTGTGGTACAGTAAGATGCCATGCAGACTGCTTCTGGATGGGAGTCACTGTGCTTAGCCACACTGCATTCTTGCAAGACTCTCATGCTTCTCTAGGGTTACTTCATTAGTTAGAGATCCTGGAATCCCACATGTCCCTATTTGCTGATTTAAATACCTTCCGTTATTAATTAAGTACTTCAGGGATTTTTTTTTTTTTTGGCTGGGGAGACCTCCGTGAGAACAGATTAAACTGACGCTGATTTTCTTGTCTTCTGCTTCCATGGCAGCTGTTTGTGTGGTCAGAATTCTCTTTTATGAGTCATTGGTCAAAGCTTTTTAGGAGACTCTCCTTATGCTTTTATGTGGCACATTCTGTCTTCATTTACAGCTAGGTCATTCAGTTTTCAAATAATTTGTGCAAAGTTAATTGCTAAAGCTAGTCTAGAGATCATTCATCATGATACACATCTTCCATTGAAAACACACTCAGTTCATCAAAATCCAAGTGGAGAACCAGGAAATCTTCTGGAGGCCCTAGGGCAGGTCCCTAATATGTCTGGCCTATGGCATGGATGGCTGAGGACCCAGTTTTCTTTGAAAACAGTTTTCTATCAAAAAGAGGTCAGAACCCTTCTGGGAGGAAGGACAAGATGGACTTGTGCTCTCCATGAGAACCCAGAAACTTTGTGCTCTGTTACATATCCAGGACATGCCTCAACTTCTTGAGATGTGGAAAATGACTCTTGCCTAACCATTCAAACTATAGCTTGTAGGTGACAAGAATAAATTACTTGTGGGTATTTTCAGCTATGGTCTTAGAGACATAGAATGACAGTTTGATTTATTATATGCAGACTGTTCTCTCTAGAGAGCAGAAGAGGGGATCTGCCCATTATCTATATGGAGAGTCCAGCCCATAGTCATGGCTTAGAATAAGGTTCTCAACCTTTATTTTTAACCATTAGGCTTTTCAGCCTTCTAACTGTGTTTTCTGTTGAGGGTCCAATAATCTTGATTAATGTCTTTCCATAACATGCAGCTCCAGGCTAAATCCTTCCTTACAGTGTATATCACAAAGGAAAATAGCACAGAAGATTTGTCAGTCTAATTAGACTTTCACTGTCAGTAAGACAAATAAAATTGTCTCACCCTTGGTCTTGCCTAGGTACTTTCTTTTACACTCATAGATAATAATTTGTTAGGGAAAGAAATTGGCCTTTAATTTGGTTTTTGCTTCTTATAAGTCACTAGT